AAATATATAAATGTGAGAGTGAAGCGGTACAGTAGTTGGAGTTGTTGTTGTAGTTGCTGCGATGCGACAGTCCAATTACGCGAACAAAAGGATATGCAAATCACCTGCTACGCTGAACTTAGTACGAATGACAGTAGTGTAGGGGAAATGTTGTTAGTAACTATAGGTAGCAGCCGTTAGCTGCTACAAATTTCATTAATTAAGTTGGCGTCTCCGTGCGACAGACAACACACACATACAAACATATACAGTAGTTACACACAATAACCATTCACCGAAAATTAACAACGCTGTGGGTGCAAGCAGCAGCTGACGCAAGACACAACCGAATTTGGCGTTAAATGTAAATGAGTTTTTGAATACAAAGACTAGCTTTCAATGGTTTCAATGGGCGAGGTGAAATGCATTGAAAGCAGATATTTAGCTAGAATGAATGTCGATTTGAAATTTAAGATTTGATAGCAGTAATTTGATAATAAACAGTTCTCAAAGAATCTACGCTCTGGTTCTACTGAATCGAATTGAAAACTTTGGATAGCGCTTTGAAGTCAAAAAGCTTTCATCGCTATATACTTGTACAATATTAGGGTTCGTGAAATTATTAAATTTAAATTCCACTGCTTCAACTTAGCGTTAAAAAGTTGTCAACAGAAAATTGAAAAATAAAAAAATTTAAATCATTTTCGTTATTTAATGACCTGCTAGAGATCACATAGTTACTTTTTGCCATTATGAAAGCTTAGTTATTCATTATTTCTACCATTGAAGACATGCAAAGCTTACCACATATTTCTTTGTTGTTAATATCTTTCTGTGCGGCAATGCGAGATTAATAGTTCATACAAATTTTACAATTTTACTCTGTTCAACGCACTCTACATAGCATTACTATATTATATATAACATATATATGTATACATATACCATTTATATATATACACTTCTACGTATTTGAAAGCAGCGCTGTTGACTTTATGCCGTTAATACCCGGCAATAATCTTTTGTAATTATGAAACTCATCATCCGGTAATCCGAGCGCTTAAACGTGGTCTTATTAATTTTCCACGCTACATTACAACAACAAGCGCTCTCCGTTTCATTCCCAATGGCATACGCTTTGGCATCCTCATAGCTACTGTAAAGGCCACTTCTGCCTAATTAAATTTGTTTAACTTGTCTACGATGCCACGGCAACATTACATCACCTACTGATACACCAATTTTTTTTTTTTTCAACTCACGTTTTACCGTTATTTTCATCTTGCTTGTGCATTGTGACAACCTCGTTAGCTGCAAAAATATTGTTTTTAGTTTTATTTCCTCTTTAGCTTCGCTAACCTTAGTTGGGTATTTCATTATTTTTTAGCAGCAACCAAATGACACTTAAGCTTTCATTTTCGTGATTTTGCCTTTCAGTTTTTTCAACTGTAAATAATTTTTATACCCTGGGCATATATTTATAATGAATTTAGTCGGCGTTGGGACGGGTAAAATAAATTAAAGCACAACAAAAAAGCAAAGACGAGAGCAGTTGTTGCTTTAGTGACGTCATTTTAGCGCAAAAATGTTGCAATATGATTACATGACACTTTACTTGCGACCGTAGATGACAGCATAAGTGTTTGCACAGTACAGGTAAATATTTTTAGTTAAGAAAATATAATATTCCATAGTCAGCAGTCGGCTTTACATTTTTTGTTTTTTTGTTTGGTTATGGATTCCTTTAAAATCATATCTCTCGTAAAACCAATATTCGAATCAGCTGTTTACTAATGTGACAAAAAAAAATTAAAAAATTTGAAAGTGTTTGCTAAATTTATAGTACTGAATAAAGTCTATTAAAGTTTACAATGAGTTCCGCTATTTTAGTTTTTATTTTATTGAAAGAAATAAGTAATGAAAATATTAAAAGGAAGATATTAAGAGATCACCGTACTCAACTTGCAACACATGTGAAATTTGGCTTGCAATAACTTGTATGCTTGTATGCATGCTTACTTTACAATATCACATTATTGACTGAATTAAGATGCATTTGGGTGTTTAATAACGTTTGCTATATTTTGTAAATCTTCTTAAAATATCTGCATTTTTTATTTTTATTCTTATGTTTTCCACTTTAAAAAAATTAATTTCCTCTTGCCTTGTTTCTGATAACAAAATCGATCAAATTGGTATCCGTGAAACCCAAAACCGATACAATTTATGTTTCGAACGTCAAACCAATAATATCTGAATTCATGACACCTACTACATTTTTTTACCGTTTTCAATTCTAATTCCAACAACTATCAGAATCTACAACACCCCTGATTATAAGATTCACCTTGACATTGTTTCTAATTAAGAGCAATTCATGTGCGCTGTTTTTATTTTATTGCCGTAATTTGAAACTGTTAATGCTATATGCTATTTAAGATGTTTCACGGTGAAATGCCAAGTCTGTGCTCACAAATGGGCACTGCTTTGATGTTATGATCTGATATCACTCCTGTCAATAAAAAATATTTGTTGCTCTTGAGCTTTAAATTTCAGTTTAGTTTTTTTACAGTTAATTTAATTCAATTAATTTTGTTTTCGTTTTACACAAAAAGAATTAATTTCGTAGTGTACGCTTGAGTTTTGAAATACTTCTTCCATATATATTATTAGACTAACAACAACTGCTAAAATAGTAGAGTCGAGAGAGATTGTTTTGCTATCGTTCCCACGACAGTCGGGTCTACGTAACCGGAACGGACCCGGATTTATTCCGGCCAAGGACTGTCAACTCGGCAGAATTCTGCCGCTACAACAACAACAACAGCATAGTTTTGCTTTACTCACGAATTTAATACGGGATGTATGCCTATTTACACCTAAATCCAAAATTTAAAAATAGTATATGTTACATTATAACCTTGTTACCATAGTCATAGCTGAATGGGGGAGGCGAAACAAGTAAATAATCACTAAAGATCCATTCAGCCTTTCTCTCTCATTAAAATGGCGGCGACTGGTGCTTGTTCAGCATAAATTGGGAGCCTTAAAGAATAAAATAATTTATGTTCTGAACAAAAGACACAACTCACAAAATAAATTATAGGAAAGGACATATTATACATACCTTATATCCTTATGCAAAACAAAACGGATCTTTCGAAGAAATATTTTTTGTTTTTATAATTTTTCCAAATTTTCAAAAACTCAGATTTTAAGTTACTTTATGATTCTACTATAAACTCCTACACTTTTTTTTTCTCTGTTGCTTAAAAAGTAATCAGAATTGCAAATAATGCATTAAAAAATCATTTATTTAACATTTTAATTATAGTTTTTTTTTATTATAATCCCAAATACGAGATATGGGTACAAAGAAACATAAAAAATGTAATCTCGCATACCTGATAGATAAATATAAAAAAAATTCAATCCCAAAAATCCTGTTAAAAAGTAAATTAAAAATTTGAATCCAAGAAACCGGATTCAAAATTTATTTTAATCTCAAGCATAAAATAAAGAATTACAAAAAAATGGTTTAAAAATTGATATTTTTCGCGTTCATTGAAAAAAATATTTATATATGTATATTCAATTTTCCTTTATTAATACAACTATCTCGGATTAAAATATTTTAATTTAAATTTTCATCCCAACATCAGCATTAGAATATTAAAATTTAATTTTTAGTTCAAAATTTTTTATATAAAAAATTCGGAACGCTGCTGGTAATACATAAATACAAATATTCTACTTTGTTGTCAATCAGGCAGATTTGTTTGACGTCAGTGTCCGAAATTAGAAATTTTTCAAACACTTACACACCTAAAAGCGCATATAAATAAATTTTCCAAGCATCCATTTAGGCTAGTCTCACGCTTCAGCTGTTCTCTAACATGGAATACATTCGTTATAAATAACTTGACAAAGGAACTCCTACACACTTGAGTTTGTATATGCGTGAGTTTAATTGATTCCATTTTGTATTGGAAATAAAAATATTCGGTTAACTAGCACGCAGCGAATATAAATGTAGAAATAAAAGGCACAAACAGATCAAAACCAAATAAAGAAAAAGATTAAATGAAAAATGCTGCAACAAGAATGCGAGTAAATATTAAAGGTAAATATCTCTCGGCGGGTGGCAAGCGGTTCAGCAAAAGCTAAGCGCCTAAGAAACCACAAAAAAAAAATTTAAATAAAAAAATAAAAACAAGTAGCGAAGGGCGAAGTTCGGGTATAAGTCATGGAAACTTTAGGTGTCATGGAAACTTTATATTAAGAAATGTTGCGAAACAATTCAACATTCATTATTCGATGAAATTGTAAATGAATTACAATCAAATTTAGTATTTAATTAAGTTATATTATAGATCCTAGACTTACTTAGTTTCATTACTATGCACATTTTATTTTCCGTCAACTAGAACTGTATTAAAATCAATTTAAATTAGATTTCCGTTTGGGATATAAACTCAATTGAGGAAGCTTAATTTAATATAATTATTTAATATGAAAACGTCAACCAATTCTAGTTGGTGCTTTATTTTATACTGAAATTTGAAAGAGTCAGGGGAATTTAAAATTGTGTTATATGGGAAGTAGGCGTGATTGTGATTCGATTTTCTCCATTTCTTAATTAAATACGTTGTGCCAAATTTGAGTTCTGTATCTAAAGTAACGGTTTAGTTATGTCACTTTAAGGGTTTTCATTTGATACCAACCCCACTTGAGTGCCAGTGAATTAGTTTATCAATATCATGATATCTTAATTTTTACTCTAGTTATTGCTTGCGCGGACAGACTCTCCATATCTATCTCGATTAGTTTTAGGTGATAGAAACAACCATTAGGTGAACAAAACTATTACACTCTGTGCCATATGTTGCGAGAGTATAAAAAAAGTAGGGAGAAATTTCTTTTACTTCCGCAAGGAAGTGCTGCCTCGCACAGCCGTACGAGTAACCTGTGCATAAATACTTATTTTGCTACTAATTGTTTTTTTTTTTTTTAACACTTACCCGACATGGCAAATACGCGTGCGTACCGATCTGTGCGGTTACGTTTGTTGAGGCGTAGCCCTCCAAGTAGGGTTCCACGAAAGCCGACACTGTTGCCGCAGATGTGACACCCACTGTGACGCTGCTGCTGCTGCTGGTTAAGACGGAGGGTGAAGCGCTGTATTGTGGCGTCATATCGACAACTTCGGCATGGAGGGGTACTGTAATGTGGAAATATATGCAAATGAAACATAATAGTTTATAAAATGTAAAAGTTTCAGTTGAGAATTACTATTTAAAAAACACGTTGTTGTATGTGTGTATGTGTGTGTACTGCTTTACTGCCGCCTTCAACAACTTTGCAACTTTTTAATTGTGTTACTCAAAACCGAAAATTGCAACCATACATCAAACTGGCAGCAGCATGTTGCTGTCAATATCATGCTTAGCCGCAAATAACACTTTGTCGTGGCATTTTGCAACAAGCGTTAAATCATATACCCACACCCAAGGTTGTTCTACTAATACAAGCAAAATCGCAATTTCAAATCTCCATAGATGCTTGACTAATGACATACACATACTTAAACCTTTGTGAAATTTAATTTATGCCATGAGTGGTAACAAAGAATGACAGTTTGAAAATTCGTTCGAGCATAAACGCACAAGAAGTTTCCACTTTTATGAGCTTTCAGCTCATTCTGTAGGTTTTGTAATGACTTGGCAATTAGCTTCTTTCTCTAAGGGCATACAAGTGAGTTGTTTATAATTTTAAGACTACTAAATGATTATAGTATATTCAGCTAAGAAAAAAAATTTCTTCAACGCCAAAGCTTTCCATTTCCATGTTCATGTCTGGTGATTTCAGGATTTTATCTCATAAAAGCAGCTTTCTAGGATATTTTTACTCCAATTATGGTATCAAAACTGCTCTAAATAATTTTAATTTTGCGGCGTTTAAATAACTCGATGATTTCAAATCTGTTCACAGAGGGGAAAATTAAAATTTCTTTAGTTGAATTATAAATTGCATCAAGTGTACTGTATTCATATAGTACACCATGTCGTATGACTAACATAGAATTTATAAGGCACTTGCATGAATGCTCAAGTCCTTTGATGTATAAATTTAACTGAGTATAACTTTTAAACGAAATATTTTATGAATCTCAGGCAGCAGTAGTAACGTAAACTCTTTAACCTACTACTATGGCATAGAGCTGCAATAATAATTGACCGATCAAAATCAATTATATTCAATGAGGCAACACTTTTTTCGGAGTTGGTACTTTGGACCGCTGTTACTTGATTTATTCTCAGTTTGGTATGCCATTTCATAATAGATAGACTTACTGAGGAATATCGTTTGCAAATCGAACAAATCTATTTTTCCGATCCGATTTTTGCAAGAAAATTTTGTTCAGCGTTGAAGGTCTTACTCTCGGTTCAAGTCATTATTGAGACGCCGTTACATTCTTAAAAATGTGCTGTATGAGCATATCATTGATTCAATCAATGGACAACGCTAAAGAGTACACTATTTAATTACTTTTCCATGTCTGAATTGGTGTATGTTGTTGTGGGGGAACTTTGGTCCCTACAATACGTCGTTTCATGTCATACAACTGACGAAACAATTAATTTATTAAAGTCAACTTTTGGTAAACACATTAACTCCCGTACGTGTGGCTCTCGGGGACTGCCGTGGTAAAGCTATTGCATAGCATTTTTTATCAACTTACATATATTTATATATTATTTATTTTTATGCATTTTTTTATATAATTCATTGAATGTTACTTGTGTTTTCGAACGCACCTTTGGATTATGATTGGAAGTGTCTCAAATAAACCCTAGGCCGCAATATTCAATATTTCTTTCGAAAACATGAATAAAACCATAAAGCAACATGAAAAATCCAAATAGCCCTAATCCTATGGCTTTTTTGAGACATTTAAATAAAAAGCTATATAAATTAGCGTTAAAACTTAGGCAAAAGAAAACTAAGAAGATCGTTGCTGAACCGGTTAACTTAAAAAAAAATTAATACGGATTTGCTACTTAAATAGAAAGTTTTCTAATTAATATTCTAGTATAAAATTGTGCCAAATAGCCCCACCTTATGGTTATTCAATCAAAAAATTTGAACAAAAAGAACGATATTAAGTGTTTGATCATCGAAATTCGCCTCCATTTGTGATAATAATAAAATGTATACTTGTATATATAGAGTATTTTCTTTTACATTTTACGCGTACTCGCCGAACATGCGTTTACCTACAAGCCTCTTTTCACGACGATGGCACTAAAAATCATAAGTAGAACAACTTTCTGATGTTCCCTCTGGAAAGGAAAAGTGTCAACCCCGCAAACCCGCAAACACAAATATGGCATCATAGTTTTATTTAAAATACTTTACAATTCAAAAATATTTTTCCATGACTCGCAAAATCTGCGTCGATATATAATTTATATTTCGCATGAATCAATTAGTTGCATGTAGACAGATATACAAACATTTACGGAAATTTTTTGATTCGGTCGCGGCGCTCAAAGCCTGCGCTTGAAGCTATGCAATAGCTTAAAAACATTCCACTGCTAACGATTTGGGAACCGACGACTCCATTTTTATTTATTTGAAAGTGGAGCAAGCTTTAAAAGTTAGCTATAGTCCAGAACTCTCGCGGCATAATTGGGAGATACATTAAAACGGGGATTCCATTTTGTTTATGTATCAACCATTTCCGTGGAAACAGTGGCATTCAAACGACTCGTGAAACCTCGTATATGATTTTTTGTCTATTGGAACTGATCACAGTAAATATATTTTCTTCCCCACGCATATTTTGAAATTTTTACTCATTTTACAAATTTTTGACACTGGTATTTACAAATCTTTTATAACAAAGTTTACCACTATATTCAACATCCTACTTTCATCTACTGCTTTGAACTTTGAACTCCAACGTTTGATCTCTGATGTCAAAAAGAAAAATTATAAAAAACATGCCAATTTCTTAAATTTATCATACGAGTTATAAATAGAAACGAAAGCAAAATCAAAGTGCGTAATTTTTCTACGCCCCGCTCTACCTCGCTATAGCAACGATTCATAGTTTGTATGACTACAATTACGCATTAAAATCTATTGTTATAAAATACTGCGCAATCATCATTAGAAATTGTATACTGATTGGGAATTTTTGACAGTCGTAAGTTGAGTGGGATGATTCCAACTATATTCGACACTCACCAACAGCTCAACGCATCTACATACATACATATATATTTTGTCAACTGCGCGGCAAATAAAATCCATGTAAGTATGTCGGAGAACGATAAATATCAAATAAATTCAAAGAAGCTATGTAACTTGCTAAGTAATTTTAATATCACTTTAAATACATATATACTGCACAATATTTCACCATAATATTTCACTGCCGGATATTCATATGCTCATTATAACGGGTTATCCATTTCGAGTTTTCCTACAGAAAATTAAAATTTGATGGAGAATGTTTATTATCATTCGAAAGACCATTCTTTGGCATTTATTTTTTAAAGATTATCTCTTTCAAATGTTGGCCGCGGCTACGTCCCAGATGGTCCATCCGTTGAGTCCAATTTACGATGACTCGTTCGAGCATGTCGACTGGTAACTGGCGAATGACGCGCGTGATGTTTTGCTCTAAGACCTGAATCGAAGCGGGATTGTCTGCATAGACCTTAGGCTTTACATATCCCCATAGGAAAAAGTCTAACGGTGTGATAACAAACGATCTTGGTGGCCAATCGACCGGTCCAAAACATGAAATTAACTGCTCACCGAAGTGTACTCTCAATAACTCCATTTATTAATGCGATGTGTGGAAAGTGGCGCCGTTTTGTTGAAACCAAAAGTCACCGAGATCACGAGCTTCAATTTCAGGCATCAAACAGTCGGTTATCATGGCGCGATAACGGTCGCCATTGACGGTTACGTTCTCACCGGCATCATTTTTGAAGAAATATGGACCAATGATTCCAACGGCCCACAAACCACACCAAACCGTTGTTTTTTCTGAATGAATTGGCAGTTCTTGAATCTCTTCAGGTTGCTCTTCGTCCAGAATGTGGCAATTTTGCTTGTTTACATACCCATTGAGCCAGAAATGGGCCTCATCGCTGAACAAAATTTGGCTCGAAATACATTCTTTACAGAACGTGAATTTTCGTAATAAAGTTAAACAATTTGTAAACGTTGTTCAAGCGTAAATCTTTTCATGATTAAATGCCAAACAATACTAAATAGAAAAAAGATGACAACTTGACACGACTCACGCATGATCTGTCAAAAATAGGCTATTGAAAAAGGTACCTCTTCCTAGATCACCCGTTATTTATGAACAACCTTAATTAGTCAAATGTTTATTAGTTGAGTCCATGATTAGGAAGTCACACAAATACATATTTAATTACATATGTACACACATACATATATGACCGACATACACATATAATTCTCTAATTATACTGTTCAATAATGATATGGTTCCATTACATAATTGCATCTTACTACGCTCCTTTGAATTCATACTAATTTTGTAATATCATGGTACATGGATTCAAATTAACAATGTGTGGTAATTAAATTAAGCACTTATTCAATGGATATTGTGCTGCAAGAAAGAGCTTGTATATTAGGAATAAAATTTACAATTAAAATGAAATTTTAACAAAATAACTGTTATTGGTTTTGCTATTAAACAATAGCACTTAAATATGCACAGATAATAATAGCCACGTGCTTGTAATTTAATATGGTATTTTTGTAACATTTATTAATTGCACTAAAAATTCATGTTAAATGATTGATTTATCAGAATAAAGCTTCTGCTTTTTTGTAAAAGATTTATGTAAATAAAAAACCATAGACATTATTTAAATTTTTCACATACGTTTTGAGAGTGAGGTGAAAAAAGTTTTAGTACAACAACATTGCCACATAACCTTTTTATATAGGACTGGAACTTCGCCGTGAATCGAGATAAACTTTTCTAACAATTAAAAACTAAACCACCCGCCCCGCTTTCGTTTTTGCGACCACAGATCGCTCGTAAATTATTATACTCTCGCAGCCTGTTGCTACAGAATATATAAGTTTTCTTCACCTAACGGTTGTTTGTATCACCTAAAACTAATCGAGTTAGATATAGGGTTATATATATATAAATGATCA